AGCAGGAGAGGAAGTGGGGAGCCCTTGAGTGCTCACAGTGAGGCTGCTGTGCTGTGATCCAGGCAGGCCTCATGGTGGCAGTAGGTCCAGCTAACTCTGAGAACAGCTGTGTAGACACAGGACCCTCAACAAGATCCAACTCCCTGCTGGCTGAAGTCGGTGGATCCCTGCCCTTTTCGGCATTGGCTTGTAGGGAGGCCAGGGAGAGGGCACACACCCCCAGTCTTGGCACTCCACGCAGCCCGGGAGGGGCCCGGTGTAGGAGGGGCTGGTGGTTGCTGTTATCACAGGCTCAAAGCTTGTGGTCTGCTGGATGACCTAGTAGTGGTCTCACATCTGTGACCATCAGGAAATGGATCCTGAATATAGATGGTGTTGTCGGGCGGGCCCATAACAAGAGGGCCCAGTCACTCACTACACAGATACTATACCACTGCTAGCCCTGTGAAGCTTCTGGCCTTTAGCCTGGGGTTCCCAAAGGGTTTGGGGTCTGTGATGGCTAATCCTGGGTGTCAACTTGATTTGATCTGAGATTAACTGAAATGAAAGAGATCTTCTTGATTGGATCATCTAAAGCCGGAAGACGCACCCTAAATGTGGGCGTTACCTTCTGATGGCAGCCGGTATAAAAGGCCAAGGCAGAGGAGAACGCCAGGCTTCTTGCTTCTTGCCTTCTCTCTCGCTGGTGAGGTCGTCTTGCTGCTGTAGACTGACGACTAGCTGGTATGTTGGAATTCGTCAGACCTTCAGCACCAGATTGGGACTACTGAGACATCCAGCCTTGTGGACTGAGCGACTACGGATTCTCAGCCTCTCCAGTGTGGTGCAGCCATTGTTGAACTACTCGGACTCTATCCTGTGAGCTAAACTGATAAATCTCTATACATATTCATTCTACTGGTTCTGTTTCTTTGGAGAACCCTGACTAATACAGGGTCTTTCAACACCATGTCCTCCTCAGCAGATGGAGAATGCTTCTGTTCTGCCCTTATGTCTGGCCAGCACTGCCCCTTCATTTTCTCAGCAGACAGAAGGGGCCCCAGGCTGTGGACTCCTGCAGGGCAGGCTTGTGTCCAGGACACAAAGCAGAGATCTGGGAGCCCTTGAGAGAGTCCCACACTCCAGTTCCTTCGTGACAGGGGCAGGATGCTAGCTTCCAAGCTTAGAGTTCTCTGTTGTGAACACAAGAGTCCTGTGCTCTGGCAAGTCACCTGGCAACCCAGATCACCAGCCCCCCTCATTCTCGGAGCTGTGATGATGATCCTGAGGCTTGCTGGAGATGAGGCTGGGCACAGGGTAGATCTGCTTTGTGCAGATGGTTATAGAGTAGGGCAGCAGTAGGGCTTCTGGAACAGGTGCGACCCATCCTGCCCAGACCCTTTGGGGCTGCAGGGAGGTTCTGCTGGCCCCTCAGGCTGAGAAGCATGGGAAGGACAAGAATGCTTGGGGGACTGACATCTCTGCCAGGGTGAGATGAAGCTATCCTGGCAGGAGGGACACAGCTAGGGGCAGGGCTCATCCCCTCATGCCTCTCTAGGTGTTGGCAAAAGGAAAAGCTCAGTCCTGGGCTCCTGGAGCTGGTCTGCCCCAAGGACCGGGGTGCAGTGTGCCCTGCAGCTGTGAAGTGTCCCTCATCTGTCCCTCAGGACAGTCTGGACAGGGCAATTGCCCCATCACTGATGGCATGGAGGGGTGGCAGGGCAGAGTGCAGGACCCATTCTATGCCCCCAAGAAGGCTCCCTCCCTGGGGCTCCAAATGGCCCCTGGCCTGTGATATAGGTGGCAGGCTGTGTGCCCTTCACACCCCCACAGGCACAGTGGCTGGGAGCTCCTTTGATGTGCACACTGGGCTGTTGCTGCCCTCGACCTTCACCTTCCAGCTCCTCCACTACCGAGTCAGAGACCACCAGAGGAGATGGTTCGTGTCGAGTGCCAGCATGTGTGGTGGGTCAGGGACTGAGCTGGCACAGGCTCTGCAGAGCCTGACCCCTGCTGACCCCAAGGGGCCCATGGAGACCAAAGGCATGGATTAGGTGGCCCAGAGTCACAGACCCAGCAAGTGCCCTTGAAAGATTTGTTACCACAGGAAGGGAGGCAGCTCAGGCACCCACTCCTGCAGCAACTTTCCCTCTGCAGTTGTCTTGGCCAGTTTCCCACAGAGGAACCAGCCACCCACAGGCTCAGCCCTGGGGGCAGGGACACATCTTGGAACCTTTGCAATCTCGCGTACAGTGTGGGTGGACTGTTCTATCCTAACCCTGGCAAGAGGGCTAATGTGACTGCCACTAGACCCGAGGAGACCATACTGGGCTGGACAAAGGCAGCTGGTGGATGACATCCTTGCACATAGGCAGGAGACACTCATGAGAATTTAAAGGGGCTGCCTGGCAGATGCTGACCAGCCCACCCTGTCCCCCACCCCCCACTGTATGAATGTGGAAGGAGGTAGTTTGGGTGTGTCAAGTGTACTAGGGGTCCCAGTGCTCAGGGGTCACATCGCTGGCTAGGTGTGAGACCTTGAACAAGTGCCTAGTGCTCCACGCCTCCGTCTTCTCATCTGTAGGGTGGAACGACACAAACGCCGAGCTCAGAATGGCTGGCAGTGAGCCCCACCACCAGTGGAGTGGCCAGTGGTGGGTTATTACCAGTCATAGCTAGCATGGCAATGTGAGGCGACTGTTTGAGAAAATGCTATCAGCCAACCGCATGTGCAGGGCAAGGCCTTCCTTTCTGTTCCTGGGTTCCTGGGACACAGCCACTTACCAGGTCTAGAACCTACTGGATGACACTTGAAGTGGCAGAGGCAACAGTGTTGGTGGCTAGGACAGTGGCTGCCTATTTAGATGAGAGCCAGAGGCCTGGACAGTCCGAAGGCTTGGCTGGGCTGGCAGCCCTCCTGAGGATAGGTTGCAGGCAGGTTAGCTAACAGGCAACTCAGTACTGCCCCTGCTCCTGCAGGTGGAGCACCTGAGCCGACAGTACGTAAAGAACCCCAGAGAGCAGAGAGCAGGGTGAGCACAGCTCTTGAGTGTACAGCAGTGATGAGAGCAAGTCAACAGGGAAGGGGGCCCGGCCATGTCACAGGGAGTGCTGCACGAGCCTGAAGCACACCTCCATTGATGAGCCTCAGCACACCCGAAGGATCTTACCTGCAGACAAGCCAGGAAGGACGTCTGTGTCCCAAGTTCCCCAATGAGCCTGGACCATGCCCAAAGAAGACACAGCCACACTAACTCTGCACTTGACTAGGGCCACAGTCCGGAGCCACGAGGGCCCTCTAGGACGGAGGCCCCCTTCCCACCCAAGATCACAAAGCAAACAGGCAGTAGGGCTGGTGGGTCAACACCCAAAGGCGTCCATGAAGGTGTCACCTCAAAGCCAGGGGCTTCATAACATGGTGTCAGGATGTCTGAGAATGACCTGGGACAATGAGGCTGGATCCTCACCTGGAGGTAGGGAAGATCAGGATCAAGGTCATACTCTGTCAAACAGCAACTTCAAGACCAGTGTGGGCTACAGGAGACCTTGCCTCAAAAGCAAAAGCAGGAAGGAATATTCCACGTGTAGGTCAGGAGTTTGTTCAAGTATGGCTGTGACTACTCACATGCAAGTACATGTAAGAAAAAGCCTATTCTGAATTAGAGGGCGGGTACGAGCAACTTGCAGCATGCGTGTTTTCACATGGCACTCGAACCTGGGAAAAGGGGTCTGCAGAAATATCAGCAGTCACTGGTGAGTTTTCCTTTACACTTCTTTAAACATACGCTGACTATATATTATTATTATATGATGGAGGATGCGTGGGCCACAGCATGCATGCAGAGGTCAGAGGACAACTCTGTGCAGCTGCTTCTCCTTGCACCTTTATGTGGGTTCTGGTGATCAGACTTAGGTAGGCTTTGGGTTGGAGAGATTGGCTCAGTGATTAAGAGCACTAGCTGCTCTTGCAGAAGACCTGGGTTTGAATCCCAGCACCCACACGGCAGCTAACGACCATTTATTACTCCAGTTCCAGGGGATCCAATGCCTTCTTCTCATCTCTGTGGGCATTGCATGACAAGGTGCACTTACATACATGGAGACATAACACTTCTACACCTAAAAAAAAACCTTGGTAGTCTTGTGCATTCGGCATCTTTACCCACATCTCACTTCTTTTTAGAATGAACACTAACGCTAAATGTTAACATGTGAAGACTTTTTTTCCTCCCTGAATAAAATGAAAAGAGGAACCTTTATCTAGCAAGAAGGGACAGGCGGACCCCTGGTGTGCTGGGGCTGTGGGTCCACAGGCTGCGCAGCAGGACCACCCATCTCCTCCCCCGGCCCTAAGGAATGTTAACAGTAACAGCCCTTTGGGATAAGGTTGCCTAACTCTTTCTAGTCTTCAGTTAAGAGGAGGTTACTTCTTCACACACAAAAAATGCTATGATAAAAAACAACAACAAACAGTTTTTCTTAATTTTTTATTTGGTGTTAACTCCACAAGAAAACGAAACAAAAAAAATCAGTTACTCTGATGTACGTGAAATCAGAACAATACAACCACGGGAAAAAAACCTCAGCCCAGGAACAGAGCAGACTCTTCAGTGCTACGGATATGCAACACGCTTCATACCACAGTGCGTCTCAGCGTTTGCCCACTTTTTAATGCTTTGTGATCACCCACTCACAGAACTAAAACCACACTTCAACTCTGTGCCGAGCGCCTCTGAGCTTCAGCCATTCAACCAGAAAACGAATCAAGTACAGACTGTTCACTCCTTTGCTTGTTTCTGACCCACCCTGTCCTCCGCAGAGGGCCTGGCCCCACAGCTGAGGAGGAGGTGGGCACTTTTATCACCTGGAGCCCTTTTCTGGTGAACAGAGCTGTCCAGGTCATCTGAGCTCTCAGCTGGGTATGAAATCCATTTGGTCTCTGCTACATAAGCAACGATTTCTAAAATAATCGTCACTACACTAATTTTAGGAATTGTAACTTCAGTCCTTTTTTGCCTTGATGGTAGGTTATATTTCAGTGCAGATACTAGTCAATGTTTAGGAAGCTCCATAAGAAAGGAAAATACGTAAAACTATCTGATGTCTGTAAATAAATAAGAGCAACATAAAGCCTTACACTCACACACACGCACACACACACGCACATGCACACACACAAACCCACTGTAAAGTGTCAAAAGATATGCTGTGTAAAAACAAACCCTAAGGCGGTGAGACCACCTCCAACGACCACGCAGGCCTCCAACGGCCACGCAGGCCTCCCACAGCATGGACACACACGACTGTATGGCCTCCATGGTGTTTCCTGCATCAGTGGAAACAGTCAACAGACTCAAATGCTTCCAACAAGGTCCCTCACAGGCTGCTCAGCTCCCAGCTTAGGAAGTCACCATGGATTCACAGCTGCCCAACTTACTGGAGAGGCCGGCTTGGCCACATCAGACTCGCCTGCCGTTCCTGATGATCTGGACACGCTAACCTCATGGCACAGACTAGGTGTTTTTAAAACAAGTTGGTTAAAAAGAAAAGTGATTTAGAACGTGTAGGCTTTGCACACATTCGCTCTCCTAGCTTCAAACCCGTGGCCATGCTGAGAGCAAGGAGGTCAGCGCACTAATGTGCGCCGTGTGAGGTGTGCTGCCTGCGTGGCTCACCAAGTCACATGAGGTGATGATCAGAACAGCAATCACACAGGGATGTGGAAAATTACTTGACCCACCCCAGCCCACCGCACACAGAACTTACCCAGAACATTCTCTCAAACAAAATGAGATACAAGCTACACTACATCACAGCCAGAAGAGCAGCTAGCTGCAGCAGCCAAAGATTTCTTTGGGGTGATGAAGTGGCCTTATGGTGTGTCAAATATTGATAAGTTCATCTGGGGACTTCAGTTCAATGCAGTCACCAGAAAATAATTTGTTGCTAAGGTCCTCAAGCAATGTGCTGAAGAGCTAGCACGGAGAACCCCCTGCGTCGGCCAGGCTGTGCTACCAGGCCTGCACTGCAGTAGCAGAACTCACCCCATCCACCGCCCCAGGCCTCAAATCCTTGGCTTCTTCAGTTAGCAAGAAAGTCACAAACCACAGTATCTTCCGTGACACTTGAGGGGAAATCCTAAGAGAGAAAACACAGTATTTTGAAGTCTCTACGAGCACACCCTTGTGTTCCTACTTCAAATGTACATGAGATTTTGCTGAATGAGACTGCAGATGAGTCACCATGCTTCCCTCCTCCTTCAGAAAGGCCCTGACCCGCGGCAGGGCAAGGATTTATCTCCTGGCTTTCAGAGAACAAAGCTAGAGTCTGGACAGCAGCAGAGGCTGTCAGCGCTACGGTGCTGACAAGGTGATGGCGACGTGGCCGCCACAGAGGGAGAAGGCCTGTGGCTGCGATGCAGAAGTGGGGACGCCGCCAAGACAAGCACATGCACACCCGTTCTTCACTGGACAGCACAGTCTACGTCAGAGCAAGACCGTAACAGCTTGAAACAGGTCTTCAACAGGACAGCCGTCCTCAACGCTAAAGTAAGCAAGAAGAGAAAGGTAATCACTGATGTGAATCAGTTAATTGAAGAAGAGACCTAGGTTGCTGCTTTTAGACTGATCGGCCTCACAGAAGGCTATTTCCCATCACAGCATTTGCAATGAGTGGGACTACTCTGCAGGGTCAGAGGTGCGTTCGGGAGAAGAGCTCCTCTCCGCTGGGGCCCACCCACTCTCCGCCGCCTTCGGAGCCTGTGTCGCCCGTGTCGGAGCTGGCACTGGAGCACATCTTCCTGTGGAGGCCATTTGGTTTTCCCCCAGAACCTCTCTCTCCTGTGCATCTTGCTTCATAAACAGAAGACACCTACAATTCAAGAAACAATTTTCAAAACATCAAAAATCGGAATTTTTGCACCAAAGTGCAAGAGAGACTCTTTATACACAGAGATGGAGTAGCAACTGCTGATGCCTCTATGGAGGGCTACAAAGGTGTGACAAAGTTTCAATGTTCAGAGTGAACCACTTCTCCCTTGCCCATGAAGGAGCCACTCCTAATTTGGCACAGCCAGCCACCAGTCACCTGGGCACAGATGCCCAGGTTATGGTAGGATGCAAGGAACTCCTTGACTTTCAGCAAGTCTTTGAGCACCTGCTGCAGGGCAGTCACAATGCTGTGCACAGGACTCCACTGGGAAGGAGGACATGGTCTTGCTCTCCTGGGGCTCACATTCAGAGATGACAAACCAACAAACCAACAGATACAGCTTCAGAGAAGACACATGGCTGTTAGCTGGTGAGGGGTGCTCCGGACCGGAGTGGCTAGAAGGTGGCACTCCCTAGTAGAGGTATGCTTGCCCTGCAGAGGCTGGCCCTGCTGTGTCTGAACTGCAGTCTCAGCACTATCAAGGGCATCTCTGCCATGTTCACCAGAGGATGTGAGATGAGTGGTCGCCCCTCACTAGTTACAGCACCAGCAATCCTCCCCAGCCCATAATCACAGTCACAACCAGCACCACCCCATCACAGTCCCTGTTTCTGAGCCTGAGGCAGAAGCATAGAAAAGCCAGGGAGGGTAAAGTGCACAAGGTTTCCCAGGGCCGAGGGGTCTGGATTTCTCATCAGTACGGAGGGTAGGAGCGTGGGCCTTCTAGCCAGCTAGACTGCAGGACCCAAAGCCCGTTTCTGCACTCCATCTTCTATTCTGCAAACAGTGTGCCAGGAACACTGAGCACACGGACTGTCAAGGATAAATCCAAGCAGAAAAGCCAGGCCAGGCCATGGCCGCTGTTGAGTATGGTAGTGACCTGAATTAAGTGGAAAGGACAGCATGGAGGGAGGAGGTGGATGTCGAGTGAAGGCGAGGTGCAGTAACAGGCCGGCAGACATACTGCATGTGGAAGTGAGGAAGAGACAGGTGGGAAGACAGGTGGTGGTGGGAGGCGATCACTGAGGGGAGGCCTTGCACACTGGCCTGGGCACATGAACACAGCACGGCAGGTGTTGTGGGTGCCAGCACCACAGAGTACTTTGGAGAATTCTTACAGACCTTGAACTGACATCGACAACTGAGAGGAAGGACAGAAGGCCTGCCTGACGGGAAAGCCTGACACTGGACTCAAGTAGGTACAGACCTTGACCTGCCTTTACGGTGCTCACAGGCTGCTTGGGGAGGCAGACATGCCTGAACACTGGATCTCAATCTAGATAGCACACAGCAAGAGCACAAGACCGGCAGAGTCTGCCCCCCACAGGCCAGGAAGGACCTGAAAAGCACACGAGAAGGAGAAAGATGCCACCCTAGGACTAGAATGGAGCGCCAGGCATAGCATTTAGAAAGCCCCGGTGCCAGCAGGGTGGGAAAAATGAGGGAGAGCACGCTGCAGAGCCCTGGCAAACAGTGTGGAGGCGGGCGGTGAGGTAGGTCCAAAGGAAGGGCCAGAGAGGAGAAAGGCAACACACTGATGGATCTAGGGGTTCGGGCTGGGGTGGGTCACATGACTCTCAGGTTTCTGACTGCAGTGACTAGGGTTGGTGGTAGCCATTCCTAAGTTAGTCATATGGAGGAGGGCAGTCCACTTACCCTATTAAAATCTAACAGGCGCTCCTCATTACTGGGTGTCTCTTTAGCATCTGGACGTTCTTCTATGCCATTCTCTCCCTTGACACTTGTAGAACACTCTTAGTCATTTTGAATGGAGAAGGGAAAGAGGGTGAGGGGGAAATTCCATTAAACAGTTACAACACACAGATCCTTGTTCCATTTCACTGAAAAGGTAGGCCTCCCAACCCTCTGGAGGTTTTAAGTTGTCACCGAAAGCACAACCAGCCAGGCTTATGAGAAAACGCTGTCACCTGAAAAATTCTTAGCTCAGACTGACTCATGGATAATCGTCATTGTCATCATAGACCAGCATAAGCAAGTTCCACCATCAGACATTCTTTCAACAACTCCGTCACTACCTATGCTGACCTATGATGTGACAGCCCTGTGAACACAAGTTACAAAGACCAGTGAGGCCCATACTCTTAAGAATGAGCATCAAGGGAGACAGGTGATGCACTACAGATATGGTCATGAAACAGGAACAGAGATGTTCCAGACAGGAGCAGTCCAATGAGAAAGTATTCTAACTCAATACCACACTAAGCACACAGTCTGAACACCTGTGCACTGGGACAAGGAAGCTGGTGGCTCAGCTGGCCAAGGCCACAGAATAAGAAGCAATGCAGACTAGAGTTGAAGGAATCTATCCAGGAAGGCCTCCAGCAAGGCCAGTTGTGCCTAATCCAGGCTCAAGCCCCCAGGGGAGCCCTAGGAGACCTAGGCCCCAGGAGACTGACTGACCATCAGTCCTTCAGAGAAACTTCCAGGTGGTTCCTGAGCACAGCCCAGGCAGAGAATCTGGTCTCAATCTACCCAGCCTCTTACCCACCAACTCCAGGAAGAAGGCAACTGTAGCAGTCACAGTGAAGGGTTGGGGGCCCCAGCAGGGTTAGTTTGGACAATGCCTTGACAAGAGCTCAGGCATGCTGGTCCCTTAACGGCCCTGCTTGCTGAGGGTTACACCATGAGGTATCAATGAGATGCTACAGCTCCTGTGTACCCAGAAGCAGAGAACAAGGCCAGCCTTAGTGAGTGCTGCACTCCCGGCCAACACGCTCAGACTATGCCTGTCACATGGACATTCTATGCAATCTGCCACCCCCAAGCATTTCCAGTTACTTGAATAACCATGGCTCTGGACGACACAGGTCACAGTCGATGCCAGATTCTGCTCCTTATTTGTGGCACGACTCAGGACCAATTAATTATTCCATCTCTCTAAGCTCCAGACCCCTCATCTCTATAATAGGAGCGATACCATTCCCTTAGGAGGCTCAAAGCATATTAAAGGAGGTTCTACATGAGAAGCTGACAGACATACTAACATCTATAGCCACTAACCCAGAACATGGACTCTGGAAGGGGTGGGGAGGCCACTACACTCTGATGAAGTAGGCCCTGTTTGCCCTGTTCTCTCTCTCTGAGAAGGATGGCGGGGGTGGGGGCAAGTCAGGAGATGAAGAGAGGAGAAAGGAAAAACCATCTCTTCAGTCTCTCTCTCTCTCTCTCTCTCTCTCTCTCTCTCTCTCTCTCTCTCTCTCCCTCTCCCTCTCTCTCTCACACACACACACACACACACACACACACACACACACACACACACACTCCCACACGAACACATGGCATGCACACCAGGGTCAGAAGAGGGACTGTGGCAGAGAAGGGTGGCTATTTTCTGGCTTAGCAGGGTGGCTATATAGATAGAAGGGTGTCTGCCTTACATCACCTGCATGCAGAGTTAGCGAAGTTACACTAAACTTTAGCTTCCCGTTCTTCTTGTAGTGCTGCTCTTGTGTAATAAATGTGTATAGGTTACTGTCACGGGCAATTTCACCCTCGCAACTATGCAAAGGGATGACTTCCTTTCATAGATACAGACAACAGAGCACAGAAAAGCCAGTCACTGTGAAGACCCAGTAGCTGTGCAGAGTCACTGGGCTCCAGCTCAGTCTTGCTCCTCCAACCAGCACCTTCACCAGTCTGTGCTGCTCCCCAAGGGGCTAGCTAGCTCTACACATGCCAACACCACAGAGCCTTCAAAGCACAGAAAAGCTGGGCTGCCAGCACTGGAAGGTGCCGTGCACGTCTCTCTGTGGCCTCCTACGCCCTGCCTGGCTGACCCTGTCCCTACCACACTCCCGTCCCACCCTATTTTGCCAGCCAAACCTGCTACTGCACCAGACACTGCGTCCACCCGCACCGTCCCAACAGCCCCATCTGTCATGTGGTTTGTACCCTATTCCCCAAGTCCCTGCTCAGAAGACCTGCCCTAGGAGGTCAGGAACAGTTTGCCTGTACATCCCTAGAGCAGGGCTCAGCACAGAGAAAGTGTACCAGTACTGGGCAGAAGTACCTTTGACAATACAGCAGGGGAGCAGGGTGCCAAGGTCTCCCAACAAGATGAGCTGTCTCACTTCCCATCCTGTCTCCTTACCAGACTAAACTAGGGGACAGTCTTCCCTCCCAAGGATGCTCAGGGCTCCTAAGAGCCAGTGCGCAGAACAATACATGCCTGTCATTAACTGTGTCTAACATCGGAAGCTTCAGAGTGCCCGGCCCCTCTGAGGGATGAGTGTGGAGCTGACTTTCTGGGTAACTCTGTGAGGCTATAGCCCCCCAGACACGAAAATAGAAAGAAGACTGCTTCACACTGTCCCTGCATGGAAACTACACAGGAATCACACTCAGCTGTCAGTTAAAAAACCAGCTATCATTCTTTATCCACCAGGCTTCTCTCTGCACACATCACACACAAGTACCTTGATAGCACCTGCTAAGAGATGATGAATAACCAAGGATTTAGAGCTAAGCGTTGAAGCTGGACTCCTACTAATGAATGACTAAAAATGAACCAAGATGAGCAAGTATGAATTCAGTATGTTTGAAAATCACCCCCAGGAAAGGGCTTCTTGCAACATGTCAAGTTTTCTCTTCCCTGCTTGGCTCTTTGAGGGCAGAACCCATACTGTGTGTTGCACCAGTGTCTTACACTTTCCCGGGTCACTCAGGAGGGCCAGGTTTACATGACCAAGGCCTTAACAGTCACCTTGGCAAACAAAAGCTGTCCTCAACCACCCTTCTCTCTCTTGCTGCTTAGTCCTCAGGCTCCAGATAGGTGCGTCCTCTACGGAACCTTTGCATCTGTTCCCTTTACCTAACTCCACAGCTACTGCCTCAGTCCAACCCAGCAACTTAGGACTCCCACACCGCCACGAGAGCCCAGGCACCCACAAGTGCTCTGTACTTCTTTACTCTCGTCTTTACCATTGCTACATCTCTTCCAAGCACACACCTGACCTGAGTACCCTTCAAGCTGAAATCCTTTCCACAACCATCCCTTCGTGCAAACCAACCTTGAACCAGCAGCCAAGCCCCGAAACCTAACAGGCTCCTTCTCATCTGTGTTTCTGGGTCAGTTTCAATCCAGCCAAGCCAGCTGCCTTCTTCCCACAGACTTCCCAAAGACTCCCTTTGCTAATTATCTCCTTAAAGGTGGTGCTTTGTATGCCTCTAATGAGCTTCCAAACCTCTCCCCTCCACTAGCCTCTCACAGTTTGAGAGCAGGGTCCAGTCTATATCCATCTCTGTGTTCCTGGTGTATACAGAAACTTTTTTGCTAAGTGTTTCCTGGACTGTATCCACAGCCAAAGAATCTGCTGCTCATGGTGACCTAGACATGAGAATGCATTGAGGAACACACACCCTCCTTACCTTCATACTCTGACGCAGGGAAAAGAGGAGAGTACAGGGCTTTTTCCCACCAGCTCTGCTTTTCTTGATTTCGATTCATTTCTTGTACGTCAGTATTCAGTACAGGAAACTGTTTAAATTAAACCAAATACAGAACATGTTTATAAACCTTTAGGACAGAGGGGAAAAGGTCAAAGCACTACGATGGACTATAAAACTAGCACTTTAAAGTTGGTGAGCTAACATTTTTTTAATTTTTACTGTTCCGAATAAGCAAAGGAAAAGGCCAAGTGCCCTTGTGGCGAATAAAAGCCTTCTTAAGAAGCACCTGAAGTGGGAACAGAATGGAAATGCTGAAAGAGGCCTTCTCGGACTTACATGGTGGCCTGAGCGTGGAGTACGTCCAGAGGGGTCTTGCCCCGTGGACCTCCACAGCAAAAGTGCACAGCTCTGCAAAAGGCCCCAAGTCTGAGGCCCAGCTCCATCCTTCCGAAATTGAAGGCTCAAGGCCTTGCTGGACCCTGCCCTGCCTCCTGGCCAGTGAAGACTGACCACCAGTAACTGTCACTAGTAATTAACACGTCCTTGGAGTGGTCATCAGCCTCACTGGCCAGCTCCAGTCAGCACACGTATCCTGCTTTACTGGTGCTGGCCCCTTTACACCTTCACTAGTCCTGAGAGCCAGCATGCCTGCCAATGGCCTGGGCTCTGCATCTCTGTACATCACAGCATCCCTATACTGAACTATCGCCAGGACAGTGCTCAAAGAGAGAGGCCTGTGAACTGAAATATCTTTATTGCTTCAAAAAGCATGGCATTATGTGTTCAAGTTTAAAATCCGTACTGTTTCAAGGGCATTAGAGCACTAATTCTCAAATGGGATTTTGCTAAGCTTCAAACTCTAAGCTATATTGTGAGAGAAAACTGCTGATTTAGTAACGTTTTTAAAAATTACACAATGAAATGGGAAGCACACTTCAAACTTTCATTTTCATTTAACAACTTTCCGAAGCAGTCCTAAATTGGGGACTGAAGGAGAACTGTGCTGTCTGCCCAGAGCAGTCACCTTCGCTCTCCTCTCCGGCAGCTCCTTCTGACAACACAAAGGGCACTGTGGATAAACATGCCAAGGGGAGGGCCCGACAAGGCTGGGCTCCATGCAAATGAGGCCAGTGGGTGCCAGGGCTACACAACAGGTGGGTAACAGCACCGGGCTGCACTTTGCAGCACCCTTTCAGAAAGGCCTTTTCTACTTTAGGAGACTATCTCCTGCTGTGCAGGGCAGCCAGGGAGGGGAGGCAGGACTCTGCCATCCGGGGACTGTGCCGTCAATTTTCTAATGCCCTTGTGAGACAGGAAGAGAGGCAGTTAATCATAATCAGGCATGGCGAGGTGCACAGGCTGGGGGGTTGAGGCACCATCCAGAAGCTGGGGCACGCACCAAGATGCAGTCAGATGCCAGAGGAAGCTCACTGAAGCTTCTGAAAGACTGTATGTTGGCTGTCTCTGTACCAGGCACAGAGTGCTGTCTCCCAGGCCTAGTCAGATTCCAGCACACCATGTCCTCTCTCTCCTCTGCTGAGGCCATTGGCATTATCTGAAGAGTCTTTGTGAAATCCTCCATTCGGGTATCAATTCCTACAGCCACAGCTCACTGTCCTCTGTTCTATGCTGCAGTGACAACACTGTGGTCATGAATCATTTCATGACAGCTTTCTACCCAGTTATTCCCAACTTCGAGGGAGCAGGTCAAAAATGACCACACTCTGCTCATGTGAAGTCTCTTTAACTCAACTTCTAGCTTGCTTGTGAATGCAAATACAGAGGGAGAGGCACAAAGACCACAAGTTCAAGGTTGTCCCTTGGGTATATAATGAATGCAGGTCAGCCTGAGATACAGGAGACCCCGTCTCTCAAAAAAAAAAACCAAAAACCAAAACCAAAAACAATTTGGTGTAGTGGCACACATCTTTGATTCCAGCACTTGGAAGGCAGAGGCAGGAGATTTTCTTGAGTTTGAGGCCAGCCTGGTCCACACAGTGAGTTCCAGGTGAATCAGAATCAGTCAGTCAGTTTCTTTCTCTCCCTCTCAAAAAAAAAAAACAATGGAAGCAAAAGGACCACCAAAGGTGATATGCCTGCCCACCTCCAGGTGTCTGACCTCCACGTATGCTCGCAAACAGCAGCTTTCAGGAGGAAGCCTGCCTGTCTTCTGTTCATACAGCAAGGTGCTCCCACACTCCATCCCCTGCAGGCTCACGCTCCATATCCAGGACTTCACCTTCCTTCAGACAGCGCTCACATGCTCTCACCACAGAGCTTAGCACATATGCTGCTGGTGCCCCACGGTGGTAGGTCTCCACAGCACGGGGCACTTTGCTAGTGGTTCCCAGCACCTGCAGCAGTGCCTGACACAGAAGCTCTTGGTATATATTCCATAAAAGAGCAGACAGAGAGAAGAAGGCATGAATGCCACACGAACAGACTGACTACAAGCGCTTTCAGTCATGGGTTCAACTCAACAGTTCCTCAGAGCCGGACATCTGGTAAAGAGGACAAAGGCTCCACAGCGTCACAATCCCAATACTCTAGTCCTGGTGAAAGCAATGTGCTGGGGGGTTCCTCTCCTTGGGGTCTGGTGCCCCATTCCCAAAGGTCATTCTTAGCCACTGGGTCACAACAGGAAAAGGAAACCTTCCTTAGGCCTCTCTTAGGAAGAGAAATGAAACGTAAACAAGAAGGCATCCACCAGAGAGGAAGGGCCTGCTCTTGATTTCCTCTGCTCCTGGAGGTGTGGCACAAGGACCTGTCTGATGCCTACTGCGGGGTAAGGCAGGCCTCCATCCTGAAGCCTACACCTTCCTAGCCATTAGGTGGGGGAAATAAATACTTGTGGACATCCGCTGGACGGTGGTGACAAAGCCAGCACAGGAAGGACAGGCGTCACTGGCCAGGATGACCCCTGCTCTCTCCAACCTCAAGGTCTACTAGCCTCCAGAACACACTGTTGCTGGAGCAGAATGTGCTCCTCCTCTGCTGAACTGGGTGTAAATTCATTAAGACAGGGACGAACAATACCCGTTTCTCTTCTGAGCTGCAAAGTGTTTGGCATTAAGCAGACCACGGAGTTAACAGGAGGACCCATGTCACACTGCAGTGCAACACACAGCTGGGGGCACTCTTCCTCATTCTTTCCTCTCCACTCAGATGAGCCACGCTCAACAACCCTATGCACCTCTCCAGCCCAGTCTCTCTACCTGGCCTTCTGTCCACATGGCCTGACTCCTCCAGCTACACACCCAGGTGTGTTTAAACTGCCTTCTGTACTACTCACACCCTGAGAGGGCTCTGCCAGGTTCCCAAAGCCTCCTGGGCTCATCTCCATTGCCCCACCTACCATATCACCTAAACTGCATTGGCCCTTCTATGCCCAAAGATAAGAAAGCAGACAAACTGGTCTTCTTGCCTGGACTAAATTCTTCCCAGGCAAGGATAGCACCTTGCTCATCACGGCTCTTCCCTTAGCGACAGGCATGTAATAGGCACCAATCAATGCTGGCAAAAGTCAGCTAAACTTGTATATCCTATTCTTCCCATGTTGCTAGACACCAACCTAATGGCAGCCCTCTATTCCCATCCTCTTGCTCTGAAACACAGACCTTGGTGACCTAAGCATGAAGGTGTCTTCTAGAGAACAGCTCCATTCAGGCAAAACCAAGCCTTATGAACTCAAAACGGACTTGGTGATTACAGCAGGGTGCTGGGTGGACAGACACAGGTCCTAAGCCCAGCCTGGTCCCAAACTGTCCCTTTGTGTCACTCCTGACTCTTGTTCCTCAGGTCGGTCTATGAAGTAAGCGCCAACCCGCAGTGCTGCCAACAGCATGACAGCACCTGCACCTGCAGACAACCCAACACGTGCTCAAGCTAGGACCTCTATGAAAACCCAGAATGCCGAGAACACGGAAATGCATCAACATACTAGAAAGCGGAGGAACATGGTAGGAGCATGATGTGGAATCCTGCTTCTTTCCTCTTTTTCTTTCTTCCCAATCTGGAACCAGGTGAAATACAAAGTACATAAGGGAATATTTAAGGAGGAAACCTGGGGGAAACAACAGCAAACAAAGGCTAACAACATTACTGGTTTCCCTTTGCAGTTCAGATTTCAGGGTTTATTTTATGTGTATGAGTGTATTGCCTGTATGGGTGTAAATGCACTCATGTCTTGCAATGCCCACGGAGGTCAGAAGAGGGCATCGGATGCCCTCAACTGCAGTTAAGGATGGTTGTTAGCCTCGATGTAGGTGCTGGGAATTGAACCTGGGTCCTCTGTGAGAGCAGCCAGTGCTCTTAACCACTGAGTCATCTCTCTAGTCCCTAGATTTCAGGTTTGCAAGGGGATTCAACAGCAATTCTGATCCTTGCCCAGGTTTCCTGCAGTCAATTCCAGGCAAGCAGCCACACAGCTAGCGCTCTGACTCAAATGAGGGAGGTATGGTCCTCAGTCATACAGAGACAGCAATCAAGTATAGAAAGAACATAAAATTAACTCCTGAGACATAGAAAATACAACAAAAAAAGAGGCGGAGAGTGAGAGAAAAGGAGAAGTTAATCTGTTGTGGGGTGAGGGTGGGGTAGAAGACAATGGGATTTAGGCCAAGTGCCAGTGAAGGAGGTGGAGGCGAGGGCCTCACAGGATGGTTAAGAGGCCTAGGCTAGTAGTCATGGCGAGCTCCAGATTCACCCTGTCTTAGCAAAAGGTAGAGAATAATGAAGACACTAAGGCCAATCACAGCAAGCGGGCCAGATGGGAGGGAGGGAGGGAGGAAGGGAAGGGAGGGGAGGGAGGGAGGGCACCACAAAGCAGTTCCCCTCCAACTCTGTTTAACCACCTGCTTCTGGAGAAAAGCCAGGTGCTGCTATGTAGTCAAACCAAGTGGGCAGACAGCTCTGCTTTTTTGTGAAACAGCTTATTGCTTCAAGTGTTAGTTCCAGTGCAATCACTCTAACTTCAAGCCATTTCTTAGGAACAGTCGGGGGTGTGATGAGTCCCATTAACAAAGCTGTTGGCATCAACCTCACCTGACAGACTCTCTGCTTCCTTCCGGAGCCCCTGCTCACAGCACCATGGGATGTGCGTAGGGCATCTTACTTCACTTGGACTGTGGGTTCATTTACACATACAACACTAGCCCTGTCCAGACGGAAGGTATTGTACACAGAATACCCAAGTTATAATAAAACTGATGACTGCCCTCTCGGCTTGGAGACACGCCCCCTGGTTTCTCAACATCAGAAGCTAGAACACTTACACACAGGGGTTTTACTCACGCCACAGGTATATTATATAAGAATCTTATAAGCTGTAATTTATTGCAAAATGCCTTTTTTCCACAGAGTCAATTACTTACTTTCAGCCTATAAATAGCAAATCCATCTTCAGTCCTTAAATGTAACTCCAAAGAATGACTGTTCTAAGACATTTACTTAGACTAAATGTACCAGTAACTCAACCTATCTTTCATAGTCTAATATGGCTATTTTTCAATCAGCGTCTGACCCGATCCCTCGTTAATTACAAGCACATACCTCTTCCAGTTGTCCTGAAGAAACAGGATTATCTTCACAAACAGGGAACTGACAACCTGCTTTGCAACTGCAAAAATCATTGCTCTCCTCCTCACACTGTGCCATTATTTTACAATTTGCTTCTGAGCTTTCTAAATTGATTTCCAGAGATTCCCTCATGCTACACTCCAAACACTGGTCCTGCTTTCCGATGGGCGGCATCCCAGCTGCCTCCTCCTGGGAGTCCAGCGATGTCTGAGCACTCTTTTCCATTCCAGACTTTTTTAATCTGGGCAGGAACTTCCCAGACTCGAGCTCTGACTTCCCATAATAAGGACCTTCTTTCTCTGCATCTTCTTCTAGAGGTTTGAGATCTGCTTGTGGGTCTTCAAGCGCACCAATGTGAGAAGGAGTGGGAGTATTTGCTTCATCTTTCTCAGACTCAAACTCTGACTCACTTCCTCCTCCAGGGGAAAGTTCAGATGCAGAAATTGGGCGGAAGTGAGTCCGAGGAGAGATCCGAATAGCCCTGTATTGTGTCCTGTCAACACCACATATTCTGGGGTGAAAAACCTCACTGTCTGAATCCGAGCAGAGGATCGACTTCGGCTTAAAACTGGGGCTGAAAGATGCAATCCCTTCAGGCTCAAATGAACATTCCACATGGAGAACTTGTGAAAATGGATTGCTTAAGTCAAAGGAAGAGAATGAATATTCAAGCCCAGGATCCTCAACTTGAAAGTTACTACAGGCTCCTAGCAAGTCTTCATGGAAGATAAAAGAAAATCCCTTATTTAACCCATTTTCCCCACTCTTCGGCAGATCACTCTGTTCCAATGACATAAAGGGTTTCCATAACTGCCTGTGACCAGGAGCAAAGCTATTTCCAGGGGTCATAAAGACATCTGTACCAGCTATTGTCACAACATCAGAGGCTGCACACTGTAACAAGCTTCCTTTTGTATGACCAGGAGGTACGACTGCCCACTCCCCATCACTATTGAAGGTTTTGAGTTCTCCATACACTCCTCCAAGAATGAATGTGTTCTCTTTCTCTTGGGCCCCATCCCAAGGTTTAGAGGGTGTGGTGTAATCACCGCCATCTACCTTTGACAGCTCACTGGACACAAACGCTCTTTTCTCCAGGTTCTCCTTTTGCCCCTCCCAGAGATGATACTCCGATCTCTGCACAGCCCGACTAGGCTCCTGAAGGGCCTCTAGTTTAGCTTCGGCATCCAAACAGCAGCAGTAGTTATTTACATCTGTTGAAAATAACTCCTCGTCGGTTCTGTCTACCTCTAACCTAGCTGCAGAATCCCTTTCTGCCATCTTTGTCCAAATGTCTTTAATAACCCCTGAGCTGTAGCCACCTCCATGTGGGCTGCTTTCACTACATGCTTGTGTAGTTTCAAAGTTTTTGTTTTCTGGTTTTTGTTCTAGCTGAATACCACAGACAGATTCTAGTTTAGATCTTTTTTTGAAAACTAACGTAGGAATTTCTCCTAAAGTTCTACTATTTTGCTGGCAAGTTTCATCTTGCAAAAAATCTAGAAGTTCTTCATCTACATAGTTTGATGAGACTCTAGGAACTACATAATTAATATCTTCTGCATTAAACTGTGTAGATTCTTCAAATTGAATGTTCAATGTCTCATTGTCTGAACGTGTTTCTTCTGAATGGGACCACGGACTACAAGTTCTTGTTGAAAGATTAGAACAGTGTTCATTCTCTTCAAAGGCACTATTTTGGGTCCATATTAGCAATCTAGACTGTGTTTTCCCAAGCACATTAGCACTAGAATCTGCATGCTCACTTCCCAAGTTGAGTGTTTCAAAAGAAAATGGTAAAACAGAATTACCGCATTGCACTTCAAACACTGAAAAACAAGAGTTTATACCAGATCCTTCATTAATATCTGAAAAGAGCTCTTGATTGCCAGCAAGCAAGTGTGAATTGAGCATCGTGCTGTCCAAGAGGGGAGAGAGTCTTACTGGAGAGTCTCCTCCAAAACTCTCTCCATCAGCATCTCCAGAGCTGGATGAGCAGCACTCCCAAAACTGAGCCAGGTTGCCAAGGTCTTGCAGGAAGAAGCCCTCAGCACCCACGGAGCTGGTAGAATCTGTCCATATTGCACGTTCCCCTTGCAACTCCATACCATCTAACACTATGCAACATTCTGCCTCAAAATCTGTATGCTCTTTGCTTTTTTGTCGAATCATATTCAAAATCCGACTTTCTCCTTGCAATGTTTCTGAGGCACCAGGATCCAACATGGATTGGTCAATCTCCACTTCATAGAAGTGTGTTAATTCAGATAGATGAATATCATCCAGGTCTTTACTGTCCTCTGGTGGAGAACATAATGAGGTCCCAGCGAGGTCAATGTCCTCAGTTATAACTGCAGGCATTTCTACAAAATGACCATCGATGAAAGTACCTGCTGCGAGGTATGTGTCGTGGGCATTACTGTTGCTGATACGCAGACCACGCACAGACTCAGACAAGTCCTCAACTGCTTCTGATGGCAGAGCACTTGCGTCTTGCCTGTTTCGGTATGTGGTCTCTAGTTTGCTCTTTCTGCTCAGAGGAACAAAGTACTCGGCAAGCGGCTCTGTGTACCACAGCGGCTCCTCTTTGTACTCCCTATTGCTCCTGCTCTCCACGTACAGGTCTTTTCCTGACGTGCTCCCAGGCTCTTTCCTCCCTGTCTCTTTTGCGGGTCTTTTACCTCGCTTGCACAGCTGCCGGATGGACCCACCGCTGCTGCTGCTGCTGCCGCCACCACCACCCGCATGAACACCTCTCTCTGCCTTCTCGCCATGCTTCAGCGACAGCCTGCTCTGCCCGTTCCGTCCTTTTTTGTTTCGAATTTCTCGTGCCTTGTGTCTGACCTTATACTTCATGGATGCTTTTAATTCTCCCTGATTACCGCTTGAACTCGAGCCTGCTTCACTAGAGCCAGAGGACCATGAGCGAGGCCGCATCTTCCCCTCAGGTTTCTGTCGGGTCTGCTTTGTACAGAAGGCAGGCTTCTCTTCTGTGGTGCCATGGCTCAGCCTGCTCCCCTTCTCAGCTCTGCCTCTGCGCAGGGCTTTCTCCTGCACAGGGAAGGTCGCCTCGGTGCTTCTCTCTTTGATGCCTTCACTCTCACTATTACAGTCCTTGGGAGACGATGTACCTGTGCTTGCTGGTGGGGCTGTGGATGACGAGGAGGAGCTGGAGTAGGAACAGGCTTTGGACTTGTTCCACACGGTCATGATCTCCTGCAGGCAAACTGTCTTCTCAGAAAGCGGTGGAAATGCTTCGTAGTACCTGCAAAGTTGAGTGAGAGTTCAGAAGCGGCAGCTGCAACCCCCGCAGGCCACAAGGCCCCGCCAGCCATGATGCAGCTCCCTCGGCCCATGCGACACTCATGCCATCAACAAGCCTTTAGCTTACGGTAAATGTGCTGCAGGCTATAGCCAGCCCATGAATCAAGTATCTTTTCACCACTCAGCAGTGATAAGCTCTCTGTAAACATGAAAATACTAAGCCAACATAAACTTGTCTTCAAAGCTGACATTTTCACTAGGAAATGACAGAAACAATGTAGCAGGAAGGGTACTTCTGCTTTAAGAACTACCTGAATTTGAGTCTTATCTTGGCCACTTGAACTGTGACCTTGGGTTCATTCCTTAGGGGTGCAGCCTACTTCCTCAACGCTAATGGTGAGTATGAGACTTACCTCACAAAGCTGAGGTGAACAGCGGGAATAAATGCTGCTGAAAGGCTGGAATACAAGCTCTGGAGCCACACTCCCCAGACCAAACCTGCTTCTGCTGCTTATGACCTGTGTGACCTTAGGCCCGTTACTTAATCTCTCTGTGGCTCAAAGGATTAAGATTAGTATCTACCCAGGTTTGGTGGTGCATGTCTTTAATCCCAGCACTTAGGAGACAAAGGCAGATGACCAGCCTGGTCTACACAGAGTTCCAGGCCAGCTGAGGCTACAGGGAAACCCTGTCTCAAAAAGACAACAACAACAACAACAACAACAACAAACAAAAAAGAATAAAGAATAGTATCTACCTGAGGCCAGACTGGTCTACATGGTGAGATCCAGGCCAGTCAGGGCTACATAGTAAGTTCCTATCTCAAACAAAAACCTAACAGTATCTACCTCACAGAGTCAGTTACTATGAGAAAAAGAGCCAGAGCAGGAGCTGTTTAGGGCCCAGGCTCAGGAAAGGCAGGGACTGTCATACTGTCTCAGGATGGTGCTCTCAGGATGGGTAGGGACTGTCATGTGCAGGTGCTCAGGAATGAGGATGCTAGAGAAGGCCAGAGCAATCAGAAAGGGGCCACAGCTATGCCTGGCACTCCCAGTAGTTTAGTGATGACAGTGAGATGTGAGGACCTGATCATATACACATGCTGTGTTCCAGAAAAGAAGCTCGATAAGACCATGGCCCTGGACATGGAGAGAAGGAAAGACCAAGGGGAATGAGCAGACACTTTTGACCTGCTAGAAAACTGGCAGCTACTGAAGATTTGAGAGCAGAATGGGTTTCCAAAGAATGTCTAAAACCATGTCAGCTCCTGAGTGCATTGTTGCTCCAGAGATAACACTCCAGGTCACACACATGAAGGAGCAAAGGCCATACTTGCAGAGGGTCTGAATTCTATTATCTATAAGAGCTACCTAATACAAATGCTTTGCAAACTTCATACAAACTTTTAAATACTCTGGTAGACACATCAGGAAGTCTAATAGGAGCTGGTGGAATTAGTTCTAATAATTTATCAGAATTATAGTCTCACTTTAACATGTGACCAGTACTGAACTGAGTAATGTAGTATTTTATACTTGTTTATATTAAGCTCCTGAACTCTGCTTTGAACTTTACACTTACAGATCTGAGCTAGCCACATTTCAAGTGCTCAGCAGCCTCATGTGGCTTATGATTTTGTATTGGGCAGCACAGGCCTTTAAAACCCAACTAAACACAATTCTTTCTTTGGTTCAGAAGATGAAAATATAAAGTAATACAAGAAAGTCTGCTGCAGTGTAAAATATTTTAATATTAATCATTATTAATCATTATATCAAATTATGAACTAAAGAAAAAGGAAGCAAGTTTGCTGAGGTCTAGAACCTGCCGGTGCTCCTGTGTAATAAACAAAGGAAACCCTGTCTTTTTTCATCTGGGTACAGGGATGATTACAATTTCTTACAGCTGTCTCAAAGGCCTGTGCTGTCAGTTTCAGAGTATTAGTACACCAATAGCCTTTATACACAAGAGCCTTCCTTGTTTTGCTCACTTTACAAACACCGACTGAATAAGGCTAGACCATCCTATTTGCCTGTGCATTCTTAGTACCAAGCACATGGTAAGTGTTCATTATCATTCCTAAATCATGAAGCAAGAAATCACATAGATGACAGAGATGGAACCACGTAGCAGTTATGAGTCTGATGTCAACGATGCACATTTTATACGTAATACAATCTTACATACATTTCCACTTGGTCCTTTGCTGTAGGGGACAATTCTGCCTCTGGAGAGGGAGACCCCTCTAACTTCTTGTGAATCTTCTCTTCTGTTATGAAACAAAAATTCAGACAGATTTACTTATATCTAGTTAGTAAATGCCATGTTTAAAAAAGTTTCTCTGGTAATTTTAATCAGAAACAATACAGGCTTTTGTGGCTTAAAGAGAGAACTCCTTATCAGTGTGTCTCTAATAAAAAATGGACTTCAGCCAGGCGTGGTGGTGCACACCTTTAATCCCAGCACTCGGGAGGCAGAGGCAGGCAGATCTCTGTGAGCTCAAGGCCAGCCTGGTCTACATAGTGAGTTCCAGGACAGCCTGGGCTACAGGGAGACCCTGTCTCAAAAAGACCAAAAAAAAAGGACTTCTTCAGTGTACCAGAAGATGCTCTCTGGTAACTCACATAATAAGCACCAGGCTACAAGGTGCTTTACCTCATCACAAAAACCTTGCTTTGGAGGCTCTTAACCGAGAGACTGACATTCTTTGTGTACTTACTAATTAGGAGTGAACATCTGTTCAGATTCCAAAAATATTTTCTCACAAAATTTTGAGTCATGGACTTTGACTCATTTGACTAATACTAATCTGTAAAGAAAATTCCTTATTACAGTTAGATCTGTGACTTAACATGCAGATCAACATGGGGCTGCTGTTTCAATTCAAATAGCAACAAATAGCTTGGTCCAGGATACAGCCTGAGATTAAAAACAAGCTGTGCCCTTAGCAGAAGGCTTCAAGGCTTGTGTGCAGCACAATGACCTCGATGAGGACAGGAAGCAGGGATCCTTAGCCTAAAATACAGGTCTCTAGCTGAGGTCTTGCAGAGCACTGGGGAATCCAAACAACTAAATGAGCCTGTAAAGTTGGCTTATCCAAAAACTCAAGTGAAGACAAAGGTTTCTTCCAAACCTGAAAAAAACTAGGTGTTAACAGTTTTGGAGGCCTTAGTATCAGCAGGCAGATAGGGTGGGCAGATGGCAGAGAGCGTGCTGCTGCTTCTCTCTGAGCTTTGATTTTAAAAGCAAAGAAAACAAAGGAAGAAGAGAAACAGTCCCCATCTACAACGGCACCTGCAGACTTGCCCTCTTGGGGACAGGGATCTCTCAAGTGGCTGCTGAGGTCCACATGGAACTGAAGATGGGGAATGCTGGCCTGTGACACACTCTGCACTGAGGCTGCTTTGGATTGGACTCTAGTTCCATCAACCCCGCTCCAGAGCTGCAGTATGGGGAGTAGCCTCTGATGCTCTGGCTCAGTGCTCACCTTGCTCACTCTGCAGGTCTTTCAGTCTGCAGCAGAGTTCCTCCACTAAAGTCTCGATTCCAGAGCTCTGTGTGAAAACAAAAGACCATCAGTTTACCTCCAGGTACAGAAAAGACGGGCACTTTAAAAACCATCAATACTTAAAATCAATCCCAGAATTTAAAAATAGTGCATTTGGGGCTGGAGAGATGGCTCAGAGGTTAAGAGTATGAACTGCTCTTGCAGAGGATCCAGATTCAGTCCCCAGCACGTACATGGCAGCTAACAAGCATTCATAACTCCAGTTCCAGGAGATCCAATGCCCTCGTCTGATTTCCTCAGGCACTGTACACACATGATGCACTTACATACATGCAGATAAAACACTCATACACAAACTAAAAATAAATAAACAAGTACCACTTTGCTCAGTAAAGCAGATGAAAGACCTAAGTGGCCATTGCCTGGCAAAGGTCAGTTACCAACAAAAGTGCCATCAAGACTTTGTGACCACAGTCTCTTAGAAGCTCAGCACGAGGCCTCCCTGGTGTGAGCACAGTCTCATATAAGCTCAGCACGAGGCCTCCCTGGTGTGAGCACAGTCTCATACAATCTCAGCACAAGGCCTCCCTGGTGTGACCATAGTCTCATACAAGCTCAGCACAAGGTCCTGTAGGTGGTCACAGTCTACAGAAAACGAAGGGCTCTGCTTTGCTTTGTACGTTTTTAAACTCTCAGGACTAAGGCAAAAAGCTGGATAGAAAACAGGTTACTACTGAGTGTTCACTGTGGAAGCACTAAGTTTTTTTTTTTTGAGAGACAGGTGCAAGGTATATATCTCTATAAAGAATTGCGAGTACCACCACATGGTGGAAGGAGAGAACCAAAGCCAAGTTCCACAGGTGTGCAAGTGTATATATGGATTCACATGAGTACACGTGTGCACATACACCCATACACACGAACACGCAATAAATAAATAAATGTAAAAGTTTTTTTCTAATAAGAGAAAAAGAAGAACACAGGAAAGGGCAGGAATGATTCTGGAGCTGGGAGGATGAAATGAGTCAAGCTTCAAGGAGCCAGGAATACTGGCGACAGGCACAAGGCATACAATCTTATTTATGACTTCGATTTTCAGATTTCTGATTTTTTGCAAGCAGAAAGAAAAGAATTTTACAATGGACAAAGGGGTGAATGCATTTCTTACAAAGGTCAAGGCATATCTGGTTGGAGTCAGATCTCTTTGGGTGGACACAGCTGAACAGATACATACGAGGAGCACAGCCTGGGCCTGCTGGGCCTTCAGAGGCTAAAAATAGAACTCCACCCATTCCCTTAACTCAAAATGACTCAGCAAAGTATAGTAGATATGCTAAAAGAGAAAGCCCATAGGCACCGTTTTAAGGAGAAACAGATCACAAATACAAGGTAAACTGTGCACACCAACAGTTACATTCTAGCTATGGCATACAACAGCCTTGAAGAGGGAGAAGGAGAGGGGCCAGGAGGGCTGCCTTTTCCTACAGCTCGTAGAGAAGCACGGCAGACAGCCAGCAACCAGAAGGGGCTGCACTCTGCCACCACGGAGGGTCCACTTACCATAATGCTCAAGGTGTGATGAGGCCGGCAACTGCATTCCATTTCTCCCAGGTCTTGAAACTAACACCGGTGTCAGCTGACACGCTGCACACTGCCTGTGCAAGCCTATGCCACTGTGCTTATAAACGCAGAGCTATCTCCAGGACAGAGCACAGAATTTCCAGGGCTGCTTACTAAACTTTCAGCCTCTAAAATAGGCTGCCATTCCACACATTGCTGAAAACCATTACAACCCAGGGATCAGGACATCTATGCTGTCTGAGAATGAACTCCACATATACACAGAAAGTTATACATGAGAACAGCTACACACATGACTATGATTCATTTCTACAGTGCATATAATGTATGCTCTTAGGCATAAATAGTAAAAATGAATATTTTTAAATATAAACAGTCTAAGCCGGGCATGGTGGCGCACACCTTTAATCCCAGCACTCAGGAGGCCGAGGCAGGTGGATCTTTGGGAGTTCCAGGCCAGCCTGGTCTACACAGTAAGTTCCAGGCCAGCTGGGGCTACAGGGAGACCCTGTCTCAAAAAGACCAAAAAAACCCACAAACAAACAAACAAAAACCCAAATATAAAAAGCCTAAGAAACACAGAGCCTTAGTCCTTACTCTGAATAAAAGCAATCTTTACTTTTTGTTTTCTCTCCTTAGGTATCTGCAGTATCCTACATGTGCACACATGTGTGCATGCATACATATACACACACACAACCACACACATTTTCTTATAGTACTAGGGATTGAACCCACTCTAGTTATTTTTTAAAGCAATCATTAGGCCATCATGTCATCCTAACAGCAAAATGTGGAAACACGGTGGGCATCCAAAGCTGCCATAGGACCTCCTGTATTCTAACAAGTGTCCTTGGGAGACACAGTATTAAAGAACTCTAACCAGCATACTTTAGCCCACAGGGTGTCCATGAACTCTTTGAGACCCCAAGGCATCTTAAGAAAGAAGCACATCTGAATGTGCAGCCTGGGTTCCAGTAACTCCACAGAGGTGCATGTGGGTGAAGATGCTCGCGGCTCCATTGCTCCGTCCATCTGCTGGTTTTTTCTCGCATCTATTGTTATGTTTAGAATTTTCAGAAGCTCTTGACCTTGTCCCTTGACTATTTCTTCTTTATAGACATCTTTCCTCAGAAGAAATCCTCTCCTTTTCTGCCATGGGACCACCCTCCTACGTGACTAACCAGCAGCCATGTAGTAGAAAAGGGAACCTCATACTTCCTCTCAATGGTGCCTGGTACCTCACAGTCCAGAACCTGTCTTCAGTCTCTCCAAAAATCTGACACACTGGTGCCACTAGTGACCACGTCCCCTAGTACGTGCTCGTTGGTATGGGCCCCACAGTGAAAACACATTAGCAAGGGGGACACACGTGCTCTGGGATGCCAACTCCAAGCTCTACATCCACGCAGCTGAAGTACCAGTCTTGTGAGGACAAGAATCCTGCCATCTCATCGCAGTTGTACAGGATCCCAAGCAAGACCAGCAAAACTTCCCAGCAAACTGCTAACCTACAGAACTGACACAGTGGTTTCAGCTCCACCTTGCATATGGTGCTCTTTCTGTTTTTCAGATCAGAGCCTGTAATTTCTACAGCAGAGCTGGAAGGGAATGGGAAGAATACCAGATAGGCTGACTGATGACACATACTAGATAGTCCAGGATCAACTTCATACTTTTTTTTTTTTTTTGGTCTTTTTGAGACAGGGTCTCCCTGTAGCCCCAGCTGTCCTGGAATTCACTATGCAGACCAGGCTGGCCTTGAACTCACAGAGATCCGCCTGCCTCTGCCTCCCGAGTGCTGGGATTAAAGACGTGCACCACCGCTTTTTTTTTTTGATGTCTGAAGGTTTGTAAAAATCTTTCTAAAATTTAGGACTGTTAGTGTTAAGCTAGTAACCAGCACACGGATTAGAAAGACTGAGAACACACATCAGGACTCAAAATATCTTGCCTTCAGGACCAAGGCAGGAGTAAAAATTGTAAAACCCATAAATCAAATAGCTATTTGCTTTCTGACCCCTGAAAACAGGAGACTCCCCAGGTCCTTCACCATCTGCTCTTTAGAAACGATACGGATGAGGAAGACAGAAGCACACACATGTAGAAGCCATGTCAGGAGGACGGGGTCTAGAGCACAGACTGCACACTGATGGAGTGACGCAGAGAAGCCAGTTCAAGGTTGTGATGAGATCAGCAGCACACAGCTCAACACATAAGGGCCTGGGCTCCATTCCAGCATGGAGGGTGGGTGGCTGGCCGTGTGCAGTGGTGCACAGCTTTCACTCCAGCACTTGGGAGGCAAAGGCAGGGGAATCTCTGTGACCATAATGCCAGAGAGAGTTCCGGGCCAGCCACAACTACACAGTGAGAAAATAAAAAGGTTGTCAATCTGTTGCTGTAAATAATAATAAAAGCAACATGATCAGCTAGGTATGATGCCACACACCTTAACACCAGCGTCAGTGTTGACGCTAGCCTGGTCTACATAATGAGACCCTGTCTCTAAAATAAAACACAAATCCCAAGCAAAAAAACCACAAAGCTTACAAAAAGACAGCTCTGTTTTGTTTCTGTCTTCAGCAGAGCAACATGTGAGCCATTTAACACTGCAACCGAGGCAAGGGCATTGTCATCTACAAAGTTCAGGCTTGAGAACTGTGCCATCAAGTACCAACAATCACAGACACAAATCCCAACGCTTCAAGTAAGTTTACAATTTTGTGTTGGGCTGCAGGTTGGATTTACCTGAAGGCAAGGGACATGAACTCATTAAACATGATGTTTTGTGAGGACAGACAAGTTATTAACTACTGAGCTTCCATCTCAACAGAGAAGAGAATATGTGAACTTGAATTAGTCCTTTAACTTTCCTATTTCATTATAACATCTTGTAAACATGGGGAGATTTTATTTTTAACACACAGGAAACTTCCTGTTTGTTATCCAGCCATTTCTTTTCAGATACTCATGTTCCTTCATAAGAACTAAACTCTCTAACAATGATTCAGGCCAGAGGCTGGAAAGCTCTGGGTAAACTTTTAGATACTGTATTAGTTACTTTTCTGTTGATGTGATAAAACACCATGACCAAGGCAGCTTACAGAAGGAAGAGTTTATTTGAGCTTATAGGTCCAGGGCTAACGTCTATAATGGTGGGGGAGACATGGCAGAACGAGGTGGCTGGAGCAGAAAGCCAAGCAATCACATCTTCAGGCAGGCACAGGAAGCAGAAAGACAGGAAATCTGGCAAGGCTTAAGAACTCTCAAAGCCCACTCCCAGTGACAAGCTTCCTCCAACAAGGCCAGACCTCCTAAGACTTCCTAAAACAGTACCACCAAGTGGAGACAAACTGCCCAAATTCTTGGATCCTATGGGGGACATTCTCATTAAAACCACCACAAATACCTTTTGTCAATACCTCATTGTTCCATTAACAAGAAGGGTCAAATGCGCCAAAGCAGGGCTTAGAGCAGACATTTTTAAATTTAACTTTTATTTATATGTTTTTTTTAAAAGATTTTATTTATTATGATATTTTATGTGTATGAATGTTTTGTCTGCATATACACTACATTCATGTGGAGGCTAGGAGAGGGTGTCGGATCTTCCGGAACTGGAGTTAAGGATGATTGTTAGAAACCGTGTGGATGCTGGAACTGAACCTGGGTCTTCTACAAGAGCAGCCAGTGCTCTTAACTGCTGAGCCATCTCTTCAGGCCTCTCCATCTCTTTTTTTTTTTTTGAGACAGTCTCACTGAAGCTAGGACTCACTGATTTGCATAGATTGGCTAGCTAGCAAGCCCTCAGGATCTGTCTCCACCACACCCCAGTGGCTGGAGCATCAAATTCAGGTCTTCATGTTTATCAACTAAGCCATCTCCCCAGCTCCAATAACTTTAAGAAGCTCCATAAAAGAAAAATATAGTTAATAAAAACAAAACACATGGGACTGGAGAGATAGCTCAGCAGTTAAGAGCACTGGTTGTTCTTGCAGAAGACCCAGGTTAGAATCCCAGCACCCACATAGCTGCTAACAACTGTTCGTAATTCCAGTTCCAGGGGATCTGATGGCCTCTCTCTGATACTACTTCCCTGTCTCCATCTTATCTAGACACCACATATTCATTGTCCTGTAATTATGTTATTATATCTTAATGGACTAGCTTACAAATGTTAGTGGCTTCTGACTGTGAAATTAGTGGAAGCAACTGAAAAGTGGGCTAAGAAGAGCTCTGCGGGGACATCTGCACTGATGGGAAAGCAATGTATCGCTACAGACATTCCCTTCCTGGAGCTCAGGAATTGAGCTAGGTGCAAATATTCACTGTAGCAGTAAAATTACAACATGAAACAAACCTATAATGTCCTATGTAAATTCTTCCTCCTTTCCACTGAAGTCAGAGTCTAAAGAGAGGAGATAGGGCTCAGACAATCCACAAGTCCCCTGCTTTCCCACTCAACCCACACTGCTCTTTTCATCACTGAGGTGAGAATTAGAGAAGTTTCTTTCCAAGTTTTTAACTGGTTCACCAAGAGCCGAGACAAGCAGTTTATAAGGTCTGTAACCTGAAGCACAAACAGCATGTGGCTCTGCAGCAGGGACTGAACATGGAGACTTTCTCTTTATCGTTCCTCATTCCTAAGGATGTATGGAGTACCTGGTATATGTCTGACATATTCATTTCCTCAGCCAATTTCAATTTGCTAAGCTTCAGAAAATCATTATTAGGGGCTGGAGAGATGACTCAGCAGTTGAGAACACTGGCTGCTCTTGCAGAGAACTTGGCTTCGAATTCCAGCACCCACATGGTGGCTAACAACTGTCTATAACTCCAGTTCCAGGAATCTGACACCCTCTTCTGTCCTCGATGGACACTGCACAACACGGCTGCACTTACACACATGTGGGCAATACACTCATCACATAAAATAAAAATAAATAATTTAAAAATCATTAGGAAAAAGCAATGGAATTGTTTTTTAAATGAGAAAGTAGGAGCAAGACAGGACAAGCAGTCCTCCTGGAGTGTGGCAGCTACTCTTCTCACCCCTGTGATCAAATCTCTGACAAGAACAACTGAAGGGAGGAGGGTCTACTTTGGCTCAGAGCTTGAGGATAGAGTCCATCATGGCCAGGAAGCAGGAGAGCAGGAGCACTAGGCAGCTGGTCACACTGTGTCCACAGCCAATAAGCAGAGTGACGAACCCTGGTACCCAGCTCACTTCCTCCTTTTTATCGGCTGGGACCCTAGCCCATACTTAGGGTTGGTCTTCCCACCTCAGTTCAGCTCCTCCGGAAACACCCTCAGACACGTCCAAGTGTTTCTTAGTGGATTCTAAAATCCTGCTAGGTTGACAATCAAGACTGACCACCACACCAAAGTTAACATAAGAATGCCACCTATGACAGCCAGGCAGAAGAGGTGCTCCAAAGCAATAAACAGCAATCCCCGCCACACATGGCTTCTACTCCTACTTCCTGGGCACACAGCATACCAAAGTGAACAAACACTCAGAAGGAGGGCCACACATCACTCTCAGGTTCTTACCTTCTCCTCCGAGTTTCCCGCTTTCCTATTCACTCAGCTTAACGTTAAGTAGCCGGCCAGAGGAATTTCTTAGCAACTTTGATCCAAAACAGAACTAAGGTCCTTTTCCAGGTTTTAGCAGCCTGCTGCATCGCTTCCTCCCAACATGACTCAGCAGTTTCTCTGGCCTTTGTTCAAAGAATTTGCCTGAACTAACCTCCCTACCTCCATTCTAAATTCCTTTTAAAAGTTTCACATTACTCTATCGATCTACTTCTGCATCACAAACAAAACAGCTTTTCTGTAACTGTATGACCACACCATGTTTCTCTGTAGTGTGTCCTGACAGGCAGCTCTGCTGAAAGGGGGCCCCTCACCACACTTCACTCCAGCGAGGGGAGGCGGGGAATATACTTGGCCACGCACAGCCAATCAGAGTCTCTCTCTTGCTGACCAATGTTGGATACTAGAGTTCAGCAGTCACGATGGGCTGGGGCTAGAAGACCATTCTTTCTTGTTATGAGCTGAAGCGGGGACCCAGGATTCACGAAGACAGGAATTGCCACAGGCGGAGAACTAAGGTCAGTGGCTTACCTACTCATGCAATTGCCAGTGCGGGGGCCCTCCTGAGGCCTCTACACTTCCAGCCTGTGGTTTCAGTGAAACAATCCTGTATCCCATTCCTTCATTTATTTTTAAACACACACACATACACACACACACACACACACACACACACAAACGCGCGTGTGCGCACACACGTTATTCTATTTTTCTTAAACTAGGTTAATATTGTTCCTGCTTTTGGCAATGACTTGGTATCCATAATACGGAGCCATGTACTAAGGTTTGAATCTGAAAAGTCCTTCACAGGCTCACCTATGTGAACACTTGGCCCCAGCTCGTGCACTGTTTTGCAAAGTTATGAACCTTTGGAACAAGGGGGACTAGGGAGCAGGCCTTTGAGGTTTACAGCCCAGCAAAGCTTCTAATCTGGCTCACTGCTTCCCCATCCTCCAAAAGTTAACAAGCCATCAAGCCTCAAGTTCCCCTTGCCCCAAAGCTTCCCACCATGCCTTGGCCACCATGATGGACTGTATTCGAAGAAACGATGAACCAAAATAAATCCTTTCTTCCCTTCACAGGCAGGGTGAACTCCACAGGTCAGCAGGTGGAGCAACACAGGCTGTCTTGGCATCAGGCCACAGGACACCTGGGTTCAGGAAGGACATCTGGAGGAAGAAACCCTCTCAATTCAACCTTCCATCGCAGTGGTACTTAAAACTATGTGTCTCAAAACAAAACAATTTTCAGTAGTTACAATTTTAGAGATCACATCTTAAGAGGGGGTGACAGAGTAAGAGTAATACTGTACTTAAACAGATGATCACATTCTAAAGTTGTTTCATTTCAGGATGGGAGAAGACAAGTATTTTATGTGGATTACTTAAAAGAAATTAAAAGCAAAAAGTTAGAATCATAAATGACATTCAGGATGTTAGAACTGCTATCCTACTGTTTCTGTACGTAACACAGAAAGCACCATACATACAGTGTCTAGACAGGAAAACCAAAGACCAAGAGTTGGTTTCATATCTAGTAATAACTGTTAAACTGCTGTGGGACTATTTAATAAAATACAAATAAAAAATAACATACGAGGGGCTGGAGAGATGGCTCAGCAGTTAAAAACACTGGTTGTTCTTGCAGAAGACCTGGGTTTGAATCCCAGCACCCACACGGCAGCTAACAACTGTCTGTAACTCCAGTCCCAGGGGATCAGACAGCTTCTTCTGTCCTCCACGGGGCCTGTACGACATGAGTGCACTTACCTACATGCAGGCAATACACGTGTACACATAAAATAAAAAAAACAAAACAAAACAAAACAAAAAAACACATGAGCCTGGCCTTTAATCCCAGCACTTGGGTGGCAGAAGCAGGCAGGTATCTGCGAGTTCAAGGCCAGCCTACATAGCGAGTTCCACAGGTCAGCTGGGGCTACAGGGAGACCGTCTCAAAAAAAGGCAATAATAATAGTAACACATGAAAAATTTTTTAAGAGACACAAGGCTGGGATATAGCTCAGTAGTAGAACACATACAAGGTCCTGGGTGCAAAACAACTTGTGCATGCACTAATTAGAGCAGTATATGGAAAATGCATTTTACAGGGTGAGATATGAAAAAGCTCATAAAGAAGAGTGGTTATGTTCACCTCCCAGCGGTGAGATGAGAAGTCGATTTCTAGGTTGTTTTTTATCAAGTCACTATATTTATAAACTTCTTAATCATTAGAAATGAAACGCACTTACTTCATCAGAAGCAGATCGAAGACACTGGACAGCAGCCTGTTTTTTCATTTCTTCTAGAGTTAGATCTGAACACTTTTTCTTACTCTTTCCCCACTTCTTGTAAGCTCCTTTCTCCCAGCCCAGGAAGATTTCATTCTCCTGCAATGAGATGACAAGGATGAAATAACCAAGACTGAAGGATGAGTCTGAAGTCCTATGTATGCCTAGTGCATGTGCATTTCCTACCAAAGGCTTGTTTACAAGCAAGTTGAGACACCGCAGAAGACGCTCAGTCAAAGCACATTAGATGACACTTACTTGTTAGTTATCTCCTCAGTCATCTTAATAAACCTGACCACTTATATTTCTAATAAATACTAACTGGTAAATACTAACTGGCAACTTAGAGGCTCCTACATACAAATACAACTTAAAGCCAGGTATGGTGGCACATGCCTTTAATCCCAGCACTCAGGAGGCAGAGGCAGGCGGATCTCTGTGAGTTCAAGGCCAACATGGTCTACATAGTGAATTCCAGGACAGCTGGGGCTCTAGGGAGACCCTGTCTCAAAAAGACCAAAAAAAAAACCAATCAACCAAACTTAAATTTCAATAAAAATTCTAAATTATACAATAAATGTCCTTGCCTATAATTTCTGCTCTTCAATAAATGACTATTTAGATTACTGTAAAATTTTAAAACCAGGGCTGATGAGATGGCTCATCAGTTTGGTTAAGAGCACTGGCTGCTCTTGCAGAGGACCTGGGCTTGAGTCCTAGCACCCATATGGCAGAAAACAACCATCTATAACTCCAGTTCCAGGGGCTACAATGCCCTCTTCTGACCTCCATGGGCACTGTATGACACTGGTGTACTTACACACATTCAGGCAATATACTAACACATATAAAATAAAAATAAAAAATATTTTTAAAAGGTTTTAAATTTAGGAGTTACAAGACTTAGCTTCCACTTCTATAGCTCACAGTCAAGAACAGACACAAAATATTTTGCCAAGATTTTAGTTCCCTCTCCTCTGCTTACACAGGCCATTAGAAAAATCTAAAGAAATGCCAAAAGCAAGAAGGCTGCTCATGACCCTGCCACTCACTGAACAAGAATGGTGTGTGTACTTCTGGTGGTCTCTCCCATGTGCTTTAAGAAGTGCCTATGGCCAGGCGTGGTAGAGCACACCTCTAAACCCAGCACTCAGGAGGCAGAGGTAACCGGAGCTCTTGTGTTTGAGGCCAGCCTGGTCTACATAGTGAGTTCTAGGCCCAGGGTTACATAATAAACAAAACTATGAATTCATTATTCTATCATTTTGGATCTGGCACATATCATACCATTACCTATGTTACAAATTCTTTGGCTAAATTTTCACCACTTTGCTAGTCTGTTTTGCCTGCAAAGCCTTTCATTTGATAAACTGATTAAAACCAGTGGGCAAACAAGATGTAAAAAGAGGCAGAGGCAGCCAGGCGTGGTGGTGCACGCCTTTAATCCCAGCACTTGGGAGGCAGAGGCAGGCCGATTTCTGTGAGTTCAAGGCCACCCTAGTCTACATAGTGAACATAGTGAGTTCCAGGACAGCTGGGGCTATAGGGAGACCTGTCTCAAAAAGACCAAAAAAAAAAAGAGGCAGAGGCAGGAAGATTTCTGTGAGTTCCAGGTCAGCTGGGGCTACGGGGTCTCAAAAAGACCAAAAAAAACCCAAAGAAATAAACCAACAAAACAATGTGATTTGAATGTAATCCTTTGGTGGTGCTGGTAGGGGACAGTTGACTGAAGTTCAAAGTTAGTATTCTGTACCCGTCAAAAATCAACAAGCCTGCCCAGACTTTGTAGCTCACGCCTTTAATCCCAGCACATGGAGGAAATCTCTGTAAGTTCAAGGCCAGTCTGCTCTACATAGAGATTTCCAGGTCGGCTGGGGCTACAGGGAAACCCTGTCTCAAAAAGACAAAAAAGACAAAAAAACAAAAACAAAATCCCAACAAGCCAGTGGTTTAGAGCACTGGCTGCTCTTGCAGAGGACCTGGGTTTGAATCCCAGAACCCATATGACACCTATCAAATGTTCTAGGGGATCTGACACCCTCTTCGACCTCTGAGGGCACTTCACAACACAGGTGTACTTATATACATGCAGGCAATATACTCATACACAAGAAACAAACATTTTCTTCTAAAAAATCCCAACAAACCAGGCACATGGTATAGGTATGTAGTCCCAGCTACTCAGGAGGCTGAGGCAGGAAGATCATTGGAGTCCAGGAGTTCCAGGCCAGCCTGGGTAACATACTAAGATTCTTTGAGACAGGGTCTTTCTATAGCCCCAACTGGCCTGGAACTTGCTACAGGAGACCAGGCTGACCTTGATCTTATAGAGACCTACCTGCCTCTGCTTCCTGAATGCTAGGACTAAACGTGTGCATCACCACACCTGGCTAACAGCAAAATTCTATTGAAAAAAACAAAGGAAGAGAAAAAAAAAAAAAAAACCACGAATGTTCAACTGCTAATGCAGATTTTTTTTTTTCCCTTTTCTAGACAAACAAAATTTTAGCAAAATACATATAAAATGTACCATTTAAGAGCCCAGGTCTAATGGCACATATCTGTAATCTCAGCACACTGGAAGTTGAGGCAGGAGAATCATGAGTTCCAGCCCAGCTGGGGCTATGCAGTGAGACCCTTTCAAAAAGACCTAAATAAATAAATGAATTTTATTATTATTTTTTTAATTTTATGTGCATGAGTGTACTGCCTGCATGTATGTAAGTGCACCCATGAAATGCCCACAGGTTAGAAGAGAGCATCAGATCCCTTGGAACTGGAGTTATGGACAGTTGTGAGCCACCCTGTAGGTGCTGGGAACTGAACCCAGGTCCTCTGCAAGAGCAGCCAGTGCTCATAACCACTAAGCCATCTCTCCAGCCCCTGGGGCCATGTTCAAACTCTGTGTTTAAACCTTGAAGAACTGTCAGGTTATTTTCCAAGGCACCTACTATACAAACCACACCAGCAACTTATGGGGGTGTCAACTTTACATACTCTGGCCAACATGTGCAACTGCCTGCGCTGCTGCTTTAGCTACCCTGGTGGTATGATGACAACTGGTGCTAACACCCTTCCCAGCACTTGGCCACCTGCATATTGGACAAATATGACTCAAGTGCTTTGTTCAATTTAAAATGCTTTGTTTGGGGGGGGGTCTCTTACTGACATATGACTTGCAAATATCCTGCCCTATGCTGTGGGGCTGCCTCTACACTTTTCTTGATCCGGTGAAGTCTCACTATTGACATTTCTTCAGTCTCCCCTGCTTGTTGTGCCAATTCTAAGCAATCACCACCCAATCCAAGTTTTGAAGGTCCTTCTGTGTTTCAGTCCTTATATTCCAGTGCCTGGTTCATTCTGAGTTAACTTTTCAATACGGCAATAAGGTAGGAGGTAGGCATGAAACTTTGTTTATATATATAAAAATATAAATATTGCAGGGCTGGAGAGATGGCTCAGCAGTTAAGACCACTGACTGCTCTTGCAAAGGACAGGGTTTGATTCCCAGCACCCACATGGCGGCTACGAACCATCCTTAACTCCAGTTCCAGGGGAATCCGAAGCCTTCTTCTGACCTCTGCAGCACTGCATGACATGGGTGCACTTACATACATGCAGGCAATACACTCACACACATAAAAATAATAAAATATTTTAAGATACATATATAGCTAAACTTTTTTTGCTAAATTTATTCCTAATTTTTTATTGTTTGACACTATTGTAAATGGAACCATCTTCATTTCATTCCTAGGATTTCCCTTCCTGTTTTGTACAACACGTGCTAGGCAAATTCTCTCCCCTGAACTGCATCCCTAGCCCAGGGTGTCCCTTAGAGGACAGTTTCTGTCTTCTACAGACTGCACTGCTGTGACTAGAGACAGTCTTATTTCTTCCATTCCAATCAGGATGTAATTCCTTTTACTGTCCTATTAATGGTCACAAGATTCTATGCATTTTATCTTAGAAAATGTCATCACACGGATACTATCAAATTCTGATACTAATTGGCAAGCCTGAGTTTAATGATGTAGAAGGCATTTATGAAAGTCTTCTTGACACCTGCCTCTTAATGTAAGAGCATTATCATATAAGCATGTAAAGGAGTCTGATGTTATTTATGATTCAAACAGTTGTTACAACTTTATTGCATTATAAATTTTGCATGCAAAGAGCTGTTTCTCTGTGCAAATTTTATGCTGAATTCATTGAAAAATATTGTCAAACCAGTAACAACAGCTATATACAAAACACCTACTGTAGCCGGGTGTGGTGGCACACACCTTTAATCCCAGCACTCGGGAGGCAGAGTCAGGCGAATCTCTGTGAATTCAAGGCCAGCGTGGTCTACATAGTGAATTCAAGGCCAGCTGGGGCTACAGGGAGACCCTGTCTCAAAAAGACCAAAAAAAAAAAAAAAAAAAACACCCCACACACCATGGACTGAAACCTCTCAAACTGTGAGCCTAAATAATCTCTTTCAGGTTTTTCCTCAGGTTTTTGTCACAGCAACAGAAGGCTGACTGATATGTAATTATCTTTTTGGTCTTCTATAATACACTGGTTCATAAACATAAATTAATAGGCATGTGCCTTGCAAGTAGTTACTCAAAAAAACTGAGTAAAATCAAGCATGTTTTTGAAAGTCCTACTGTGTAATGCACACAATGATCAAGTAGCAGAGGAGGCAAAGGCCCCCCGTGACAGTCTACTTATTACCAGGTGCTTTTCTAAGCACTGTGAGGTAATGTAAGGTTAGTGTTTTGATTGACTTCCTTATGCTGTAGTCTATCAAAAAGGAGATTGGGGGGCTGGAGAGAAGGCTCAGTGGTTAAGAACACTTTGTTCTTGCAGAAGACACAGGTTTGAATTCCAGCACCCACATGGCAGCTAACAACTGTCCATAACTCCAGTTCCAGGGGATCCGAGGGCCTCTTCTGACCTCCTCGGGCATTGCACGACACTGGTGCACTTACTACATGCAGGCATAACACTCATACACATAAAATAAAAATTAAAAAAAAAAAAAGATTGGGAATTGCAGGAAGAGAAAGAACACAATATTCTAATATTCTGGTGACTATGTCTGCTGCATG